CACGTGGGTTTTTTGATATGCTTTTCACAAGATTGGAGTTTATTTATCTTCGAAATAGTTGACTCAGACCGTGCGATATTACAGAAGCATGCCAAAACAAGAAACTTAAATTCATAGTCTATGAATCAATCAGTAAACATAGACCACTTCTCCGTGCCGTCGTAAAGCGAACTGCCTCTTTTGAATTTACGAACAACTCGTGCCAGATCCATTTCAGTGTCAACGTATAAAAATAAGCTTGCCCTTAAATTGACCTTGTAAGGATCATGACCAAGATGAACGTAACACCTCTCAACCCTCTTAACGGTTTTTAAATGAAATACTTTCTTCAGTATAACGACAGTCCCAGTATTTGGTCTTACAACTACATTTGACACATCCACCATTTTTGCAAATCGGGCAAAATTCTTTCCCCTGTTTGTCGGAATTGCTTTGGTCACGCAACAATCGTGATTCAGGAAAGGGAGGAATATGTCATACTCAATTCTTAGACAAATCGACTGGAATCCATTTTCCATGTTCTGTGCGGGATCCTTCTCCGATTTTGTCAATGTCTTATTTAACAAACCGTTATCGAGATCCAGTACTAAGCATGCTCATCTAGTAATTTCTCAATAGCCAGACAAGAAAGTAAATTGAAAATCGAAGAAGAATTAAATTTGTTAGGTCAAATTAAAATAATTATTTCTCATATTGACAACTTTTTTCCACTTAGATGAGTATTTTGTAATGCGCTAAATTACGTGCATAAAACCCTTTAGAAATATCTCTTGCCATCTTTGAACACCACTTTTAGTAAAATCGCAGAAATAAACTGTTGCGCTTTAGCACATTTGAATCATTATATTTTTATCCACTATTTCCATATAGTCGAGTCTATCCTATAATTTTGGTACCTGGCTTGACTTGCTTGGAGTCCTGGTAAGTCGGCATGTTAGCAGGTTTGGACACAATCTAAGCTATAAATAATACGAAAACAAGAAGCAACAACAAGATATTGCTGCACCTTTTATTTTACATGAATATGAATAAATACATTCAGTTACATCCAGCCTAAACTTAAGAACATTATTTACAAAAACTTGAAGTGTGCCTTTGCATGGAAAACTTGGTGGTGAACTGTTTCCCACAGTTGTGACATTGGAAGCACTTTTGGCCGCAATACTTTCGATGGTGATTTAAGTTTCCAATATATTTATAATGTCTGCCACAGTCGACGCAAACATGCTTGTACCCTAAAAATGGATTTTGAATCATATCGATATATACTGAAAACCAAATTTGTCAGACGGCTTGAGTTCAATGGGTACAAGAGAGAAGTAGGTATATACACATATGTTAGAAAGAGGTAGAAGCCGGCTTCATAGCGAAGCTCATCACCGCGTTGCCTAGCAACGCTGACGCGGCTTTCTGCTGCGTTGTCAGTTTATTACACCAGTTCCTTGACTTAAGATGCATGTTGAAAGTATGCGTTAGTTTATGCTCTACGCTCAAATAATGGTTTTATTTTGAGCGTACACATTTTTTAGTTGTGAATTGTGTCGAATGTGCTCAGAATCGGTCGTAACGGCGCTTTATTTTGGGTCAGGATCGCAACAAATTTTGCAACATCGCAACACTGGTTCGCTTGGCATCACCGCATCCGGTGCATTCCAAGGCAAGGTTTCCACGACCATGATCATAGATGAGCAATTTTTGTCAGTACCCATCTACCGCTCATTGGCAAGAGTTGACGTGCTTCGAAATGGTTGTCACCTGCGTACACGCAGGCAGTGATAATTACCTAAAGGTATTTGTAACATTTGTAACTCAAGATGTATTTATTTTATCACCATCGATGGAAATCAATTTAAAAATTAATTAAAACTCGTCGCATCAAAATTGAAATAAATAATTCTAAACAAAATATTAAATTAGATGTTCGAACGGCCCTCCTTCTTGGGTTTGACAGTAACCTAACCTGTTGCAGAAGTCTGTGCGAATATTTTCTGGTGTAACATATTGGTGATGCAGAAGGTGATACAATCTAGACAATGTGGTGATGACCTTCACTCTTTAACCGGCTTCTATCTCTTTCTAACATGTGTTGATACACACTTTACGTGCTTATCTCTCGTAAACGTTGGACTCAAGCCGTCAGACGAATTTAGTATTCCCTGTATGCGTAGTCCTTAAGAATACCACAGAGCAGTTTGTCGCGTAACTATCTCTACCTTGGCATTAGTTAAGATTAAGGAATCACCTGCACTTGATGATGTGATTTGATAAATAGTAATGAGAAGGCAATACATTTTCTAATCTTCCGTGTTTGACTAGGCAAATCAAATCACATACGTATATATGTTCTCGCATTTCAGATCCATAAACAATGCGCAAGCAGCATATTCAGTCGACGATTGCATAACAATTACCGGGTTTGTTGCGCCAAGAGTTCTGGGTGGGTTTTCGCCTTTCCAGAAGACTTTTCGGCTTTTCGGAATAATGGACGAGAATGCGGTGTCTGCAACATTGAAAAAAATGAGAAACAATATCACACCCGCTTGTGATTTTGGAGGGCTGGACGTCCTTTTGGGAACCGTGTACCCACCCCAGGCAGGGGTATCACGTATCTAGAAAAGTGACATTATACCGATTTTTTTTTACATTATGCTGTTTTTTTTGACATTATGTAGGTTATTCACAAGATGTTAACTTAGCACTTAGTTGTACGTGTTGCCTAAACATCATGAGGCGTGTTATCAATCTTCGGCTTTGATTTGATGTAAATCTGCTTCTGAGATGGCATTACTGGAGGTCTAAGCTGTTAGTTGTATGTGTTGATGATAATTACATTGGGTTCATGTCTCAAATACAATTAATTGAGATTCAAAGCTAGAAGTTAGTTGCGCATCCACTTTTTCTTATCCATTCTGGAAATTAGGCACATATACAAATTTGCTGAATTTAAAAAATGAGAGAGATAAGAAATAATTATATTCACTGTACACTGTCGAATTACAAGCCATATACATATATAATTACACACAACGTGGGTGCGGTGATGATTTCCCATAATTCTCCTCAGCTTTTCGTAAGTTATAACTTTGAACATAACCTCTATTCAGAAAGCACAACATATAAATAACCCGTCATATTCGGCATAGTCAGTAATGATTTTCTCACACAGCAGATATCACTGATTTTATACACATGCAGACCAATACACATAATCATCCAGATGCGATTGCTATTTAAGCAACTTTCTTCTCAGAGATAAAAACTACAGAGCCGGATCACTCAGTCTCACAAAGCTATGCAACCAATAATGCGTAGTTTAGTTGAGTGATTCCTCCACAGATGGACGTTCACGACGATCCTAGTGAGCAAACGTGGAATGACGCGCCCTAAAAACTACCTAGTCTACAAGTTGACATCTTATAGGTTTTTTTGACGTTTTGTAGGTTTTTTACATGATACCCGTGCCGGGCTTTGCTAGTTTTGCGCGGTGTCATCTTAAAATTGCAATGATGGCAATGATGCATGTTACATGAACGTTCAGAACGTTCATATATATTGTCGTTACATACTATACAGGGTGATTTACAAGTCGTGACCAAAAATGAAACATCATACGCAGGATCGCATTTTAAGGGGGGTCTCCTATGTAACATTTTATCCTCAAGGGCTCCATTGAAGTTTAAAAATAAAAAACAATTTTTCTTAACATCTCCAAAACCGTCAACTGGAATGGACTAAACCTTGGTACGTGGATTTACCTAAATGGTATCCACATTGAAAAGTCTTTACTTAAAATTAACGGGCATCAGTGGCGGAGATACAGGGTATTGGTAGCATTACTTTTCCAAATAAATATAGTACGACACTGTTTTTTTTTTCGATACGCGCAATTTTTCGAATTTTACCTCCAATCTGATACAGATAATTACTCTTGTGTTATTTCCTAGAGCGCATTGTCTTCGTAAAAATAAAAATGAAACAAATTGTATCATTCAAAATAAAATAGGAGGCCTTGATACCAACTTGACGTTTCTTTGGATATATTTGTCAAAGTTATGTGTTATATGGCTGTTATCTTTGCTACTACCATTTTTTTTTTTGTAAATGTCAAGTCAGGTTTCTTTTTTCCATTTATTTATGAGTGCTGTGAAATGGAATTTAGCACTATTTTTGTGTACGGGTTCTGTAATGGAAATGCTTTAGCGGCTTGTCGGGAGTATCAAGGTAGATTTGCCAACAGACGCCAACCTATCCCAAAGGTTTTTACTAATCTGTTTTTTTTTTCATTTTTACGAAAAAAATGCATTCCAGGAAAAAACACAAGAGTAATTATTTTTAGCAAACTGAAGGTATAATTCGAAAAATTGCGCGTTAAAAGAAAAACAATGGTGTACTTTTTTATTTGGAAAAATAATGTCACTAACCCCTCTATTTCCACCACTGGTGCACGGTAATTTTGAGAAAGACTTTGGGATGTGGACAGTACTTCGGTAAATCCACAATTTTAGTTCATTCTAGTTGACGGTTTTGAAGATATTAGAAAAATTCTTTTTTATTTTTAAATTTCAACACCCCGTATCTTTTTAATGATGCCCTCGAGGAAAACGTGACATAGAATACCCCCCTGAAAATGTGGTCCTGTGTATGATGTTTCATTTTTGGTCACAACTTGTGAATCACCCTGTATAACTATGTGTAAATGGAAGAGAAACGGAGTATCACCTGGAAGACAGATAAACAAAATATTGCTAAAAAAATGTCACTTGTACTTGAAAAACGTCATCGATGGAACCGAAAAGTCGCGCGATAAAGAGGAATTATAAATATAAGTGTGGTTTGATTCGACCACATGATAAGTTTCAAATGTTACAATAAATTCCCCATCACACCAATAGTAAGACAAGTAAGAAATCTACAATGACTACCGACTTGCTAGAGTTATTTACATACCTCTATGCACTAGCGAAGGCCATAGAGCCGAGTTAAAAAGATAGACCTGTAGATAACTTTTATCTGTTTATTTTTATAACTACATATTTGGTTCCATAAATGCTCAATAATATAAATATAGTTTTATTTTCCAAAAACAAACAAAAGTTAACTAAGCCTAATATCATTCAGAGCGTCTTTAGGAACTGCATGTCGACTGAACATGTGGTGAACAAAGTGTGCTTTCTGCTTCGACACGTGGTGACAGATCTTGCATCTGAATTGCCCTTCTAGGCCACATTCCCATTTGGTATGTTTGTAAAGAGAACTTTTATGTCTATAGCCTTTCCCACATCTCCTGCATTCAAACAGGGTACCTGAAACTTTACTGCTGCTTCAAATTTGGAAGATTATTTGTATATGATTAAGAGATAACGAACAGTAAGTAAAAGAACAAGCTCCTTTATTCAATATTCATACTTTAGCTTTCGAGTTTTCAGATACTCTCCGAAATATAGGTATAGTAGTCTGTGTCCTCTAAAACCACGCACATAGATGTCAATTCCATAATTTGGATTGAATCTCCTTTGATATGTTCATAGCTTAAAGTAGATTATAAATTCCACTTACCAACATGAATTTGAAGAGGTGAAGTTAGCAAGCTGAAGTTCTAACTGAGGAAGTTGATGCATGTATAACATGATATTGACTTTTAAAAATGCCAAAATGTCGGATAGGCGCCATTTTTAAATTTTTTTCAAATGAGGGGCCATATTATGATATCTCACTTTGAAGCTCCTGTTGATGTTGAGCATTTTCATATATTGAGTAGCTTGTAAAGTTATAGCATGTTATATAAATCGTCTTATTTTGGAAGAATCTACCTTCCTTCTACAAGATCAGTAACATGAAGAAAATGACTTTATATTCTAGGGTGCGGTAAAGAGGTTAAAAAAGCCGCCACCTTTATGTTAGAATACATCATTCATACATCATGACCAGAAATTTTGGCTTACCAACTTTACCTGTTCAAAAAATAAGTAGAGGCATTGTATGCAGAGAGTGTTAGTGAAGTACTTGACCAAACTTCTAGGGGCGGTTTTTACTGTGCAGTGTGTCAATTTTTTTTGAAAAATCGGTTTTTGTATGCGTAAATTGAGTTTGTTAGCGTATCGAAATTTGACTTACACCTGCGGTAAGTCGAATTCCTACTAAGCGCTACTACTGAGGAAGTTTGTTACTCAATCACGCCAAAATGACTGAACGGGTGGGGCTGAAATTTGGTACTGAGGTAGATTATAGTCTGTAATATCATATATGCTACCTTTTATCCCGGAAAATACCTGGTTACAGCCCAAACGGCTTAATGAAATTTGACGTGTCTGGAGCAGAAGCTCTGAGTCGTTGGTCTGACCAAAATGAGTTAGAGTAAATAGATAGGGCACTAGCATAACATATAAGCTTCCAGATCATATAGATTTATCGTTTAGAATAACATACTGACCAGTTACCAATTTGATTTCCGAGAAAAGTGCTCTACTCAAGATGCGGTAATTGATCTGTGTAATGTGATGTTAGAAAATATGGACAAAAAACAAACTTTATTCTTTGATCTCAAATGCGCTTTTGAGACAGCAAACCATTCAACTCTAATAAGTAAGATTTTTGATTATGGTATTTGAGGGTGTGCTCTTAATTTATTGGTTGACAACGCACCTATATGACCGTACACAAGCAGTTCGGGTTAAAACTGAAATAGGCCTGCTTAAATCTTCACCTTTAGGCTGTGGCAACTGGTGTTCCTCAGGGAAGTACACTAGGCCCGTTGTTAAAGTAGATACTCCTTATGCTCTAGTTAACACAGCTACTGATAACTGTTTAGTTATAAGATCATCTAAAACATCAATGGTAGCCTTCAACACCACAAAAAGATCTCGTAGTCTTTTAGTCAGATGCAACAATAAAAGTCTGTGTCAATACGCCAATTTTAATTATTTAGGCGTGCATATTGATGATCTTTTAAACTGGAACAGGCAAGTTGATGTCATTATCACTGCACTGCTATGTTATTTTTCAAATCCGAAATTCTCAAGCTGTACTAATTTTTGTACTTCCATTCGAAACTTAGCCACAGCATAGTTTGCTGGGGGAACAATAGCTTCTAAGCATTGACGCTACCCGTGTAGAGGGCTCTTCAAACAGTTGAATATAATGACAGTTCACTCTCTTTATATCTACAGATGCCTTGTTTATATTAAAGAAAATTTAAGTTCTTTCTGCATAAATAGATACCTATATTCAATGTTATGAATTACGCCAGACAGACGATGTACTTATACCTACTCGTATAAAGTTGTACAACAAGTTAACAACTTGTATAAAAAAAATTCCAAATGTCTCTCTTTTTAAGGAAAAAATAAGTTCAATTATGTTGAACAACGCTTTCTATAGCATTGAGGAATATTTCGACTGTGTATTTGAATGATGTTCTCTTTGTATTCATCAACGTCCCATATTGTGATGTTATGTTAGTCATTCTACTTGTTATGCTTGTTTTATATGTACATACCTTAAAATGACAATTCCAATAATACTACTAATTGTGTAGGCATCCGGAACTAAAGTTATAATTATTATTATTACTGTGTTAATTATTGGGTTATTTGTCATAGCCACCTAAGGCTCCATATTTGAACCCATTATAATTTCACCTTTTTGGTATTTTATTATATATTATTTATATACTTTTCTTCATAGACCTTCTGCCAATAATGAGGAATATTTGTTATGATTTAAATTTCAGCCATTAAAGCGTGCACGCCGATTTCAACACAATCGATTTAGGAAGGATAAAGATTTTTGCAAAAGTACGATTTTTGAGAAAATGTTGACATCCTGGGTTATGAAGGCGAAGCCTTGTTGATTCGTGTTTATATAAGAAATTTTCATTTTAGTCTCTAGTCCCTAGAAGTTTTGCTAGATTCTTAATTAAGATGGAGTGTTTTTCTAAATTTTGGGAACACAAGAATAACTACGTCACTAAAATGTTTATTTCTGGATATTGTTACATAGTACATATCAGTAAAATAATGTATATATACACGAGTGACTAGTAAATTTGGAAATTATCTAACTTATGGCTATTATATGTACAAAATACTTAGTGTAAAGGAACAACAGATTATTACGTATTTGAAAAATTCTTTGGTATGACCATACAAATTGCTCAAAAAATCAGGTACAGTTAAATAACCTACACAAAATATGACAGAGTTTTTTCAAAAATGAAAGGAGCGAGAGGCGAGGCAATGCGTTTTGATGCTGAATAGCAGTAGCCGTGGAATGGATTTGACACTTCGAAGCATTTGAACTGAAATTTAAATGGGAATGGGAAACACGTTGAGAAGGATGGTGTAGCCTCGGAAAAATGTCAAAATAGCATTTCACTCACGTTTTGTCTTGTAGGTTTGTTACTTCGTGGTTTATCAATATTGCCAATATTTCTGCTTACAACTCATTCAAACTATCAAAATTGGAGTTGTTTACAGTCATGGTGACAGCAACAGAGAGAGATGCCACATGCGCAGAACATGAAATTCATTTTCTGCGCAGTGTACTCACGAGAGATTTGCCCTATGCGCAGAACCTGAAATTCATTTGCTGCGTCGTGTACCGAAGCACTTCATCGTCGACATGTTTGGCCATTTTTAGCTATCCAATCCCAATCTCTAACCTTTTTTCAACAATCTATCACAGTCTGACAGCCAAGTGACAATTGCTGTCAAAATCACAAAGCTATCCCATGGCTACTGTTATTCAACATAAAAGCGGTGCACCGGTGGCCGCCTTACGTTGGCTTAACGTACCCAACGTTACATTTATACAGAAATATCCCCCAATCTATTTTTTTGAACAGATCAAGTTAGGAAGCTGGAATTAGTGAGACTGAAACTGATGCATGAATACTATAATGTAAAAATAACAGTTGAAAATTTCAAGGACTTTTTTTAACAGAATTGAGGTCATGTGCTATCTCATTTCGAAACTCTAGCCGTAGGATATAAAAGCACTCTTTTTCAAAATGGCGGATTGGTAGGAAGTCAAAGTTAAGTTTAGTAGATTGAATCGCTTATAACTCAACAAATAAGCGTCAAAACGTTATAGTATGTGATATCAATATTCTGCTCCTGGAAGGTGTTATCTGAATGTGTAATAAAATATGAGGACTTACATTTAAGAAAATTGATAGATTTTGTCAATTTTTTCATTAGAACGTTCCATATTTTATATTATTTTCGGATGAATCCTTTTAAGAGAAGATTATTGATATAACATGCTATAGCCTTTGAGTGACTCAGTGAAAAAAAATGCTCAACTTTGTCAGCCTGCCAAATCTCCATTTTGAAGATTAGTGATCTTCTATTCTAGGGTTATAAGGTAATGTCACTTTCACGCTAAAACATAGTATTGCATCAGCATCATTTCCAAGAACATCAGCTTTCTAACTTGACCCGTTCAAAGAATAAGAACGGGGGAGGGCGCTTTTTGAAATGCACCGTTTTTCGTTGAGCTTTTTGTTTGAACTTCAGGTAACCGTTAACGAGGAACCAGCCAGGGTCGTGGACAGACACGATTCGGTTTATTCCATGCTGCTGGCCATGAATAAGTTTGGGATTGATAGATCCGCTCTTTTGATTTCAGATTTCGAAATGGTTGAGAGTGATGTGGACAGAAAAAAAAAGTTTTGTTGGAAGTGGATACTTGCATTTAGTTTTAGGGAACACGATTTGACAGTCGCTGAACTATGAAAAGAACAACTTGGAGATTTTTAAGTAATGGCGACAATTGTCCGAAATTTAGTTTGATTTCTTCCTGGAACGCGTTTCACCACACATTCAAAAATCCACTCGGTTTTGAAAATTGAGGAGAAGAATTCTGAAATGCAGCCATTTAGAATTTTAAATAGCGTAAGGTTGCACCAAATCGTGCTCAAAATTAAGGATATAATAATTTTTCGGTAGATCGGTAGTTCGGTAGAATTTGACAAAAATCGGTAGTTCTATCAAAATATTGGTAAGCCTGGTAACACTGACCGGGCGTGAGCGGTTGTTGACTTGCCGATACTTGACTGAGTGGCGGATTCAAGGGGTTACATTTCTTCGGTACCCCCCGATATTCAATGTTGAATTGCCGAACCCCCCCGATTTTCAGTTGTAATAAGGGCATTCGCTCTAAGAAGCACCAATGCAGCAGACGCCTCCACCCTCCGTTCGATCGTCGATACCCCTCTCCAAGGCGGGCAACTTTCTAAACATCTATCGTGCGCCCCCCCAAAACTTTTTTGAGCGGAAAATCAAACTAACCATATAGACCCCTCCGAAAAATATTTGCTAGATCACTAATCAGATGCATATTCGAGTCTCATAGATTGTACAAGACATCGCCTGGAGTTCATGTGTACTGTCAAATGTCTTTTGTGTCTGAACCTGAAGTTGCACTGGGTGCACACGAACTGTCTTTCGACGCCACATTCATATTTCAGGTGCCTGGCATAATGAGCTTTCCTCTTGTATGAATTTCCACACTTCACGCAGCCGTAACGTCCATCATCTGTGCAAAAATACGCCAGTCCTAAAATCTGTATCAATCAGATAAAAGATAAACGATAATGTAACAGCTGAAAGTTATTCGGTAGAGCGCTAGATTGAACAACATTGGAAATGGGATGGGGGGGGGGGGTTATGCGTTACCTCATTTTAAAGCTCCATATGAGTACTTATATAACTCTATAGTATAAATATACTATCTTTCAAAATAATAATAATTAATGTACATTGAATTGCTTATAACTCAACAAACAATCGTCAAAACGCTACATACAGTCTGTTATATCAATCTTCCTTCCTTGGAACGCTCTACCCGAATGTATAATATGAGATTCTATTTAAAAAATATTGCCCAAATCTGTCACTTTTTCTAAACGGAATGTCCCATATTTTATTATATATTTAGATAGTCTCTCTCGAAAGAAGAACATTTATATACGATACTATAGCGTTTTTATGATTAGTACAGTATTCAAGCATTAATTTTATCTTCCCAAATTTCAGCTCGCTAGCTTTATTCGTTCAAGAAAGAAAGTGGACGCGGGCCTTTTTGAAGAGGACCTATAATTGTAGAAATTACTGTAACCCCTGAAACCTATCTTGTGGTTTTTATGTTCATAGAACTCCATTACTGTTTACTGACTCTTTTATTTCTTTTACTTATTTTTAGTTTTTTTATCGGAGTTTCGAAGAAGGTCATCGTAGTGCCTGAAACGTTAGTAAAGAGTACATTTCTCCATATGTGCGTCTTATTTGGCCAGAAAAACATGATAACTGATGCAAAAACGGAGAATTAAGGCGAAAATTTTGAAAAAGTGGTACGGAAACAAACAAATTAAACATGTTTCACAAGAGCCGTGATACGCATTGATTTTGAAATAGGCCAGAACAATTTGGGAAGAATGCAAGATGTATCTCGGTGTCTTTCCGACTGGACGCCTATCCACCGGGATCTAAGTGCACAACTTGTGTTGTGTTAAAGTAAATAGAATTAAAAATGTGTCATAATACCTGTTGAGTTGTAAAAATAATTAAAAGCACAGTAATGCAGATGTCCACAGGCTAGTTGGAAATTAGAGCAACTGATCTAAGTAAGCTTATATAGCCCACCTATCCTAGAAAAACATATTTTATAACGAATTCCTTTTCCATTTCGAAAATATGATTTTTAGGATCTGATACTCGTACATCGTGGTGAAGATCAACGAAAAGAACCAAAACGATGCACTTGTTGAAATAGTGTAATTTCAAAAAGTATATTTTATGTGAAAAATGCGGTTTTGGCCTCAGTCAACAGCCCTCTTCCAGACTAATACAAAAGCCCAACTGCAGTAGATTTTGCAAGATAGAACAACCATTCGTTTGGCAAAATTACATTATCCAAGATTTTTTTTTGTTTTTAAACACAAAAAATCTAATAACTTTTATTAGTTTACAGTACCTATACAATATTTATAAAAACTTATTTCACTTCATTATTGCATAAAAATCGACTAAATGTTCATTACTTTCGGTAATATTCGTTATTGAAGTTAAGTAGTACCTAGCTGGCGAAATTCATTTTGTAAAGTTGATTTGGCAAAAATCTCTGACAGGAGTTTATCTGCAAAAATCACCTCTAATGGACGTAGTTGATGTCGTTGGGTGAATTAAAGGATGCAGATTGGCCAACTTGCATTTGATAAACGTAAACTGTATTCTTTAATATTATTGTTTTATGTGTTATAGAATTATTGCCAAAGGCCACATGTCAGTGGATGAAGCAATCCGAGTATAACGTATATCGACGTCGCTGGAAACCCAGGTTCCTGAACAACTTGAACAACACAGTGATCTTTGGTTCGTTCGAAAAAGTTCATTTGGCTCATTTATTTCTACAGGCACGGACAAGCCTTTATACATTGATGACATTTCAAACGGGTTACCATTAGGTGGTAGGTATTAGTTTGTCCACGCTAGACCTTTATTTTAGCTACACTTGGAGTTTGAAGACATCCACCTTTTTTTGCTTATTCTATAAAAAAACTGAGAAATAAGATTTAAATTTTTGGAGGGGATAACTTCCAGGTCTCTCGTTGGAAAGGAAGTCGCGACTAGTCTTCTTCTTTCAAACTCATTAGCAGAGATCGGCTTGCCACTCTAAATGCCTGCATGTAGAGTGCTATCATCGGAAAATCTGTGGATGGGATTGATCGTGCAGGAGATAATATCGTTGATATATAATATAAATAATGTTGGGGCCATGACCGATCCCTGTGAAGAGCCTGTGTTGATATTGTGCGACGAATACGGGAAACCTTCAATTACTAGGGATATTTTGCGGCCGGGGAGGAAGTCAGCCACCCATATCCTCAGGGAGGTCATAGAATACAAGCTTCGGTAAGAGGGCAGCATACCAATATTTCTCCATCACATCACCTTGCTGAATAGAGCTATATGTCTGTAGTTATAAGAGTCGGTCTCATTGTTACATCCTTTTTTTGGGATGGGCTGGACGTGAGTAAATTTCCAATTGTCTGGAAAAACACCAGATGGGTAGGATATCTGGAACAGACGCGATAAAAATGGAGCTAACTCCGCTGCACTTTTCTGGGGTACAATAGCAAGGATCAGATCCGGACTAGAATGGTTCTGGATAGCGCGTGAAGAAAAATAGCATATCAAAATAACAAATATATTTACTTTCTTTTATATACAATGGTGTAATTAATCACCAATGCAAGACGTAAATGTAAAAAATATGTTGTCTAGTATTGTTTTTAAAAAACATAGTTTAACCACCTAGATCTGTAAACTAAAAACCCATAACACAATATGACTTAGAATGTAATAGAATAGTTTTCACGGAAGGTGATGCCATTCTGCAGCTATCTGCAAGTTACTCCGCCGTATAGCCTTCAGATCTATGCTGTGTCTCCGCTGCAGATGGGCTAGTAAGCCTTTTGTTGAACTATCCTTCGTTTTCAGTATTGCTGAACATATCGTACATTTTGCAGTTGCGTGATTAGCTTTTCTTGCTAGGTCTACACACTCTTCTATCAGAAAGTAGAACCAAACTGAGTTAGTGTCTGTTGATTTTTTTGGGTGGGGCTTGTAAACTTTAATAGCTGAAAATTTCCTGTAGTTAGATATAAACTAGATACAACTTTTAAAGTAGTTAGAGAGCAACCAGATTATATAAGATCTGTACCTTGAATTTTTATGATTTACAAAATTCAAGGTACTTTCAAATTTAAATTTAGTATGGTCTGTACCGAATATAAATCAAAAAAGAATCCTGGATTGAACTTTCGAAAATAATAAGCAAAAAAGCCATTGGACATTTCATTCAGTTGAACAAACCGTGTTGGAGTAATCGTACAGCTGTAGCCAACCTGTTAGTGATCGTGTTCAAGCTCCCGCCACAAAAATTGCGTTCATTCTGTTATGCTATACAGGGTGTTTCAGTTTATTGTTGCATAACTTTGAGATTCGATAGAACTTTTAAAATTAATGCATAAAGTCTATATAAACATGGGTCGAAAAATGCGTGGCTTCCGAAATACAGGGTGTTTAAATTTACTTTCTAAAATAGTTTTTTTTTTAATATTTCGAACAATATTTGATGTATAACTGTGAAAATTGGTATACAAGGGTTTTTTTGGTACGACAAAACGAACCATGGGCATAGTTTTACTGTAGCCGCTAGATGGCACTCTCTACTGTACCTGTAGTGTAAAATGACCGAAAAATTTATCTTAGTGCAATCACATTTTGAATAAAAAAACTGATTCTTCGCACCTTTCAACATAAAAAAGCTCTCTTGTGAATTTTCGTTATAGTTAGCCGTTTTTGAGATATTTCGATTTTTAAGGTTCGATGCATTTTTAATTATTTATGATAAAATAACGTTAAAAAGTCAGTATCTCGATAATTTTTAGAAGTAGGCTGTGCCTGCAAATATTTTTGAAATTGAAAGCAGAATAAGGTTAAACGTCAATTAGTTGACAGTTAGTTTTGTTGTCTGTTGAAACCTGAAACGTTTTTTTGCAATTGTGAATGCACGAAATTTAGTTTCTTTTACCTGTTTTTTTTTTGTAAGTTTTATAAAAATGCCAGTTTTATTCTCCAATCAAGAGTTAGCGGATATTAATTTTTTGTATGGCTTTGTAAATGGAAACGCAGCAGAAATGACCATAGACGTCCTTAACATTTGCAACCTGTGCAAGGACTACAGCCAGGGGACGGAGAACGAAGAATCACATTTTGTCAGTGGATTCTTGATAGAACTGATAATAATAGGGAGCTTTTAAGTAATGTTTTATGGACCGATGAGTCATGCTTCACTAGACGTGGAGTGGTAAATTTTCATAATCAACATATTTGGTCGCATGAAAATCCGCATGCAGTTCGGGAAAGAAATTTTCAGCATGAATTTGTGTGAACGTGTGGATTGGTATCTACCGTAATCGACTATTTGGACCCTACCTTTTGCCTGCAAGGTTAAATGCTGCGACCTTCTTGGAATCTTTAAAGGCTGAACATGCAAATATGTGGGATGATGTTATGTTAGATTTAAGAAGATTGGCCTGGTTCCAGCTTGATGGTTGTCCAGCTCATTATTCGAGAATAGTTAGAAACTGGCTGGACGAAAATTATCCAGAAAGATGGATCGGCCGTGGAGGACCAGTCGTCTGGCCTCCACGATCCCCTGACCTAAATCCATTAGATTTATTTGTGTGGGGATTTCTAAAAGAAAAAGTGTACCAGACTCCCGTAACCACAAGAGATATGCTAATAGACAGAATCAGGAATGCATGTGATGAAATAAGGCCTTATTTGAATAATGCAATACCACGTTCGATCATTCGTAGATGTGAATTGTGTATTGAACAATTGGGTTTAAATTTCGAGCAACTACTTTAGATTTTGTATGTTTGTCCTAACTATCCAATAGCATTTTAGTTGTAAATAATTAATTTAATTTGTTAAAAATAATATTGGAAAATTAAACAAATTTTTTTGTGTTTATTTGGAGTTAGGAATTA